TTACACGGACACGGACGCAGAGACACTCAGTGACCAATCCCGTAGAGGGGCATTTTCGTTATTTTTAGCACATGGGGACAAACAATTGAGGTACCCCCGCTCTCGTCGTTATAAGTTCGCTCATGTTGACGCTACTCGCCTTTCATTTCGCGTTGGTCTGAAGCTTCTTTCTCCTCTCTCGTATCCCTCTCTGGTTTTTGTTGCTAGATCTCTCTCAAGCTGTTTCTTTAGAGGTATATTCTAAATTGAGATCCTTGTTTAGTCAGCTGTTTCCGATGCGTTCCTGAAAACGTGTTTGATATTATTTTAAATTCGTGTTTCCTTTGGATTTCGATTCCGATCGGGGTTTTTAGCGTTTGGAAAATTTGTTTTCTATGATAATTTCGAGATCATATTGGAATGAATTTTCGATTTGCGATTCGATTTGTGTTTTGCATCTTGTTATTTCTCATATCTCTTGATCTGAGCATTTCGGGAACGAGCTTTTCAGATCGTTTCGCTTTTTCCTGTCTTTGTGTCGCATCGGATCGGAAATCTAAGAAATTTGCTGTTAATTACTTCTTTGGTGCGTTTTATCTTTTTTTTTTTGTCACGAAAACGTTTTATGTTTTTGACCAACCACGAAAACGATTATTTGATTCGATTCAATTTGCATGGATTCGCTTCTTCTCTTAACTCGAGAGCTGGCCAAATCCCATGACACTAACTCAATTCTTTCTGTACGCTGTTAGTTTGATGAATTTTCGAGGAAATCTCTCGACCATTCAATAAGTTATAGGTCGATTTTTGTTTCATTTAATATAGTTTATTGGTTGGAATTTTTTCAGAATAAATTAAGGCTGGTTAAATTTGAATGGAATTTGAAATATGTAGGGATCCAAAGGCTGAAGGAGAAATGGGGTTGACATTCACTAAGCTTTTCAGTCGGCTTTTTGCCAAGAAAGAAATGCGAATTCTGATGGTTGGTCTTGATGCTGCTGGTAAGACTACTATTTTGTACAAGCTCAAGCTTGGTGAGATTGTCACTACAATCCCTACCATTGGTAAGTTTCTGGCCTTCTCTTTGAGTTGAAAGACCTAGAATTCAGTATCTATGTTGTGTGCTTTGGTTTCTTAGTATTGGTTAATGATGTAATAATTTTAATACCACTACAACAGCAAGCTTTATCTCACTAAGTGAAATTTAATAATTTCAATGATTTCTATAATAAGAATATTTGGTTACAAATTTTCATTGTGCATCCTTTGTGCATTTTATCGTCCTTTGCAAATTATAACAGTTTTCTAAGGCCCTTAGGTAAATGAATTACAGCTTGTAAATGTGAACGGAGGAATCCATTTTAAAATGAATACTGAGAATCCAGTTGGTGTTGGTTATTTTAGATTTGACCTAGTAGCTGATGCTTGATATGAGATTCAGGATGCAGCTTGTTGCAATCATTGTGCCTATGCTTTCAATCAATTATAATAATACTTTCAAGGTTTAACAATCTATCATAATTTACAGTATGCTCATTTTTCTTACGCTTATTTCTTTACCTATAATTCTTATATCTATATTTGGTAAAATTTGAAGAATGAGCATTCCGACCTGATTCTTCATGCATGAAGTATTATTATTTGTTAGTATTGTTATATATTCTCTGGGTCTTATGTTGGGGCATGATATCAATTTACCTAGGTTGGATTCTTAATTTGTCAGAGGGAGTCGGTTTTGGTCTCTTCATTAAATACCGTTCTTGTTAGAATTAAGGTAGAGCACAGTAAAATACCTTAGTCTTTTTTTTTTTTTTACCAGAGATATCTGGGTATATCTAGATTATTATTTATGTTATCATAGGATTATTTTTGTTATTTTTGCTTATCTTTCAAGATTAGTGTTAGTGTTTAAACAATATTTTTTTAATATTTCTAGGGCTCTATAAACAGCCTTAAGGTCTTTCATTGTAAGCAGACCTTTTGATTGATTAAATAAAATTGAGCATTTTCTTTGTCGCCCCACTCTTTCTCTCTTCTCTCTCCTTTCTCCTCTTGCTCTTAGCCTTCTGTTTTCGCATCACAGATGCTGACATTTTATCAAGCTGTTATGTTTATCAATACTCAATTGTTAAGTCTGTTCTTTTATTGCTATGTAAGGCTGACTTTTAGGACATAATACCTTGTCTTTCAGGGTTCAATGTGGAGACTGTGGAATACAAAAACATTAGCTTCACTGTTTGGGATGTTGGTGGCCAGGACAAGGTGTTAACTTTGATCATAGTTACTAATAAAACATGCATAAATCTGTAAGAAGATGCATCTTCTTATAAATCAACTTAATATATGCATCTTCTTACAAAAGCATTCTGGTTGTCTGAGATATTTTCTATCGGAGGTCAGTGGTTGATTATATATGTTTGATTATGCAGATTCGTCCCCTGTGGAGGCATTACTTCCAGAACACACAGGGTCTTATATTTGTTGTAGACAGCAATGACAGAGATCGGGTTGTTGAGGCCAGAGATGAGTTACATAGGATGTTGAATGAGGTACTTCAATCATAGTTGCTAATAAAACATGCATAAATTTGTTACTGGTCTTGAAATGATGAGATTGTTCCTTGTCTCTACTGATAGTTGCTAATAAAACATGCTTCCAGAGTTCCAGTGGAAATTTTCATCATTTTTCTGTGTCTTAAATTGAGTCTCTGACTATGCTGTGGATGATGCATATCGACTGATCTTCAGAATTTGTCAACATCATTCTTCCCTGATACTTGCACTAATCTGCTGTTGTAGGTTTACCGTACAGGAATTTTCAATAGTATTATTTCCTTGTTAATTCTTGTGTTATAATTGTCAAATTGGATTTAATATTTTGGAGTTGCTTGACCTGTTTTTAACTTGTCAAGCTCCTGGGAAGGATTGTTTTCCTTTGCACCACATGATGTAAATAAGGATAATGTTATTCATCTTTTGCTTCCTCTTGTTTCTTTGTTTTAAATAACCAGTGATAAATATGTTTAAATTTCATTTTTGTCTTTCCCTTAATCATCTTAGGATGAATTGAGAGATGCGGTCTTGCTTGTATTTGCCAACAAACAAGATCTTCCTAATGCAATGAATGCTGCTGAGATCACTGATAAGCTGGGTCTCCACTCTCTCAGGCAGCGACACTGGTATGTATTTTATTCATGGTTCGTCGCTATGTATTTTATTCATGAATCCCTTGTTTTGTATTAATACCGCCTATCTTGACATGGACTCCCGGTTCTTCCAGGTACATCCAGAGCACCTGTGCTACTTCTGGGGAAGGCCTTTACGAGGGCCTGGAATGGCTCTCCAACAACATTGCCAACAAGGTAACAGCTGGTTCCTACTCTTGCAGATATTGACATAAAAAATGTGAACATTTAAGTTCATGTAGGTGGATGCACCATGCATTGTGTTTATATGTGCTTGTTTTTCCAATGGCATTAGACCATATTTTTAAATCCTTATTCACAATTGTCGCTGCCTTTGCCAAATGATATTCAGAAATTGCAGAGATTTTTTTTCAATTGATCTTTCTCTCATTCCAGGCTTAATGTTCGTTGGGAGTTACATTTTGGAACGGCTATTCTGGATGCAGGGGTGAATATTATCTAGTTTTTTTTGGTCCTCTTCTGAGACTAATTCGATTTGTGTTCTTTATCAGCGGTCTAGGATATTTCGGAGGGTGAAATTGTAGTGGAAATTTATTTCTTGGATTATGTGATATGTAATACATGAGATTTTCATTGGATTTGGATGCAGGTATGGAACTGGAAACTAATTTGCTGCGCCATCCCAATCTAAAATTTATTTTATGCATGCCTTCCAAGTTTCTTGCAACTCTTACACGCTCATGGTTGAAAACTATTCTCTCGTAATAATCACACCCCACTCAAGGCTGAACATGTTTTCAGTTGTGGGCTCACTTCGCCTCACTCTAGGCAGCATGCTGTTCAACCCAAACAGCGAACTCGGTCCGTTAGGGTATGTTGAGCCTCCAATTTGCCAAGGGACCATGAACTCGCTAGTCTTTCGTGTTATTCCTCGTTTGGAACGTCAAGCTCAATCCTTTAGATTGATTATGGCAGTGTGTTTGGTCCAGGTGGATCACTATTGTAAGCACTCGAATAGTTGTAAAATCTAAATCTGCCAAATCTCTGCCAGCAGATATACGTGAAGCCGGAAAATTCCAGTTTTGGGTTGGTCTTTGTTGGTGGTGGTTATTTTTACCAGCAAGCATCTTTCTACTGAAGATGATAGTGTTTGAAGTACTTTCAGGCACCAAATGTGGGGTTTTTATCTCAGTGGAGAATGAATTTTAGTTTGTCAATTGTAAGGGGCCACTTCATTTTGCTAGACTTAAATTACTGCTGGTTAGTGATTGGTTATGCCTTAAGATAGACAAATGTGCTGGCTTGTCTGGGGTTTAACGTACAGGATAATTGGGCGGGTGGCTGATGTCCCCAGAATTGAAGGGAAGTTGGGGACAAGTCACATGGTTGGCACTTGGCTGGCTGGTTGCAGAAGGAAATGGAACAAATTTTGCTGAAGGCGGAGGGAATTGATTCCATAGCGGCCTCCGAGAAACGCTCAATGCCTCAATTTCCATGGAATAATTTCGAGTCGGCAGGAATTTGGATATCTACCGGGCCCTCCATTGAAAGCTTTCTTTGTAGAATGGGCGGTGCCCTCAAGGTGTCTAATGTCCGTACAGTGCAAATGGACAATGTTAACTCAATCAAATCTCAATGAAACTGCCAATAGTTTACTCCGCAGCACATTAAAAAGCCACTTGCTTAATTTTTTAAAATTAACAGAAAAATGAGAAATTCAGCTATTAAGAAAAAAAGGAGTTTGGAATTTAAAGAACTCTTTCTGAGGTCATGATCCTTTCTGTTGAATTCATTTTTTTGAACGCGCGCGTGTATAAAAAAATCAATGTATTTAAATCTCGTGGAATTCCCAATCCATCAAATATTCAAATCGCAGCTTGGTTCACCGCCACTTCATTGGTGCCATTGACTGAACCACCGATGAAGTCAAAGTTCTCCCATGTTTTGCTTAAAACAGGGATAGGATTTCATAACTTCAACGATAAAAGATAATCAAATAAATTTTGATTCTTCCCTCGCAACTTTGGGTTATTCCAGAGCAGCATCCCTTGCACTGACTTTCCAGTGTTCTCCGGAAAATGTAAATAATTTACTTTGATATGGACTGGTTAATGATCGCATAATCTTTTCTTTCCACACGATTCTTTAAAGTGATGGACTGGTTAATGATCGCATAATCTTATCTTTCCGCACGATTCTTTAAAGTGAATAATCATATACACGTCAGTTCTTGCAGCTTTTTAGTGATGAGGGAGGAGCTCGTTGCAGTTCTTACTTCTTAGTGCCCTTGATGTATAGAATTCCGTGACTAGCATACTGAAGCTTAGCAGACAACTGAAGCTAGATATCAAAGCCGAAAGAAATATGGATCCGAATCATTCTGATTATATATATCATCTCGCTGTGGATGTTGGGGGTAATTCTTGAACTATATCTTTTTTAGAGTTGAGTGTCATATATTTTGGTTTTCTTCATTCGAGCTCTTTTCGGAGTATTTACTTAACGCATTTCTGGGTTACAGTCCTTTACCTGAAAATCTAAACAATTATCGGGTGGTTTTCCATGTATGGTTGGGTACTTAGCGTCTTTTGCTTCTTAATTGTCCATCATGTTAGTGGACTGGTGGACTACAGAGGGTTTCTTGGAGGTTGTTTAGCTCGGAAATCAAGCTTACTGATCAATTGAATGTGTTGAGTTTCTCGAGCCGATTAAATGAGGGTATCCATTAGCTTCAAATGTTTCGTTTAATCGAAAGTCAAAACATAATATATAATTTTTTTTTTAAAACAAAGTCTCAATCATGTGATGATAGAATGCACAAAATATAACATAACAATTAACGTAAAAAATCTGCATCTCAGTTTTTTCCTCCTAATAATCTATTTTGGGCTTTCGAAATGAAAATGACACTTCGGAGTGATTATGTCAATGTATTTAGCGACGATGCTACGATTATCTGTTAATAACCTGCTCCTAGAAAATGCGTGTTTAATACTGAAACTTCTGAAGAAAAGTTCTGCTTAGCTTTGCTGCTTCTTGTCAAACCATAATGTTGTCTGTGTTGGCAGGTTCTCTTACCAAGCTAGTTTGCTTCACAAAGAACGAGGATCATCCTGATGATGGTGGGGAGGATATATCTTTTTTTTTTTCCCTTTTTTGTATGATATCATAACTTTCATCATAGGCAAAGGATATATCTTTTGAAATGGTCAATTTCCGTAGACTAGATATTGGGTTTTTTCAATCAGCTTATTTAACCTTTTGAATATTATTGATAGAATCCAAAGCTAGTGGAAGCTGTCCTGTTCTCAAAGGGAGGATTAATTTTAAGAAGTTTGAAACAAGCAAGATAAATGATTGTTTAGAGTTCATTAAATCCATGAAGCTTCATCTAGGAGGTACGGTGCAGTCGCAGAACTGTGTTTATTTGTTTTTGCAACTCTAAATGGTCTTTTATCTAAATATAAGCAAATGTTGGGGAAGGGGGATGCTTTGATCCTTGAATCTTCCTGACTTGTCATCAATTCATACTGATCTTAAATAAGCGCCTGTTCTAGGTCAAATTGAATTTCTCCACTGTGCTGCTTGCTTGATCTAAAATTTGTAGTGTCATAATTTTGCTGAATGGAATTTCTAATTTCTTCTTGCTAGCCCGAACAAAATATGATTTGTATCTCTCAGTTGATTTTAAATTTTTTTTCTTTACATCTCTATCTAGCTAGTTGCTGTCATAATAGTTCATCTCCATCTGATTTTTACTAAGTAATTGCTAGAAAATTTCCAATATTTGTTTCTAGATAAGCCACCAGGACTGGGTTAGTGGCAAGGGCTTTGAGTATTTTGTTGGAATTCTTGGGTTGGAACCTCCATCCTCTTGTTGTAGCAAATAGCAAAAACAAATAAGATTTAATTCGTTTGTAGTCAAGTCTCAAGCCCACTTTGAAGGCACTCCGAATCTTTTCATGTCTGCTACTTTTAATTTTTTATTTTTTAAAAAAGTTGTTTAACACGAAGCTCTCTGCTACCTCAAGCAAACAATTTTTAACTGATAATGAATTCAGGGAGCCAACAGCAGCAGGATGGTCCTGGAAGGCTGACAGCTATTAAGGTAATCAAGTGGAAATGTTGGAATGTGATCATGAAGAAGTATCACTACTTCCCAAACTTCATCTAGAAGATTTGATTTGAGAAAGATCTATAATCTAAAAAATAGTAAATGATACAAGTTTGTCTCTGCTTTGGATTTCATGTTTAGACAGACAATCTTAATCCTTACCTCTTGTACATGGCTTTTTTCAGTGTAATAGGATAACTTATTCTGAATAAAATCATTAGACATTGAAATAAAATCAGTAGTTTCTACACAAAAGTTATGTTTCAAATGTAACTGTTTCATTTAATGGCCGTTATTCACAGTATTTCATAAGGAAATTAAATTAATGTTATGTACTTCTCAAAATTGAAAAAACATTGCTGAGAAGGCAACAGGTGGTGGTGCACACAAATATGCAGATCTTTTCAAGGAGAGACTTGGGATCAGTCTTGAAAAGGAAGATGAAATGGATTGTCTTGTAGTAGGGGCAAATTTTCTGCTTAAGGTGAGATCCTTGAACCGCATACAAATTCTTTTATCTGGTTGGTACAAAGTATAATTCAAACATTTTATTAACTTTAACCTATTATATGATTTTAAATCATTTTTCCATGTCATTAAAAAAAAATAATTTCTATTGTCCCAAAAGACTAACGTATGTATGTGGACAATTGTGAAAATTTGACCGCACATAATGGATTTGATTTGTAAGGGGAACCTGTTATGTAAGGCATATAGTTTGCGGAATTTGATGAGCTTTGTCCCGGAACTTGGAAGATATTTTCTTATTATTCATTTCTTTCAGAGATGTAAATGAACTAGAGTATACTAAATGATTAAATTAAGGACTTCCAACTGGCAAATCTGACATGCATGTTTGAGCTGTATGCACAAATATCTTTTCATTCTGAAACTCCATGATTGATTTGATTGGGGTTTTTGCACAGCATTTCACCAAATATCTTTCTGAGTCAGTGCTTGAAAGAAAAGGACACAAAATTTTCTTTTCTTTTTCCTTTTGGTTTTTAGAGGGATTTAGTTGTTACTATATCTTTTCAATTTGCAGTAATGGCTAGTTGTTTGGCCTTGCCTCTCTTATGTGCCTTGAGAATTTTTCCGCAGAAAATCTCATCTTTATTTTGATTTATCTTTCTATAGGTGGTACGCCAGGAAGCTTTCACCTACATGGATGGTCAAAAGCAATTTGTGAAGATTGAGCACAGTGATCTGTATCCCTATCTTCTAGTTAACATTGGTTCAGGTGTTGGAATGTATAAGGTTACTATCAAGCAAGTTACATCACTTGCTCTTTGATTCCAATTCTGATTATGTAATATTTCTGAAGTACTTATGATGATTCTTTCATTGTTTTGATATAGGTGGATGGAGATGGCAAGTTTGAGCGAGTGAGTGGAACAAGTATTGGTGGAGGTACTTTCTGGGGTTTGGGAAAGCTTTTAACTAAGTGCAAGAGGTTAATTTTCCCGACTTGTTCATTACTGTTTGTTTAAAGATTCATTGGACTACCAGTAATGCACTTTCTGGTTCAGTTTTGATGATTTGCTGGAATTAAGTTACCGGGGGAACAACAGAGTGATAGATATGCTTGTTGGAGATATTTATGGAGGAATGGACTATTCAAAGGTAAGACTAGTGAAACTGTGAAAGTACAAGCTTAACCTGAGTATACAAATTAATGATTTACAGTAAGTCAAGATTGTTCAGTTTTGAATATACTCTCTTATGGTTCTTGAGCACACCATATTCTCCTTTGATTGGTAACAGATAGGTCTTTCGTCAACTACAATAGCTTCTAGTTTTGGGAAGGTAATTTCTGATAATAAGGACCTTGAAGATTACAAACCTGAAGATATTGCTCGATCTCTTCTAAGAATGATCTCAAATAATATTGGACAGGTCAGTTGTAGTTACAGCACATGTGCACGTGTGTGTGAAATATGGATTTGTTTGGAGAAAAAAAAAAATGAATTTCTGCTGCGATGAGGTTTTGTAAAAGGTGTTGTGGATGAAAATATAGAGAAACTTTTTTACTTGCGGAACCAACATAGAATTTTACAGGTAGGAAACTGATACCTATACATGGAATGTTTAAATAACCTTACTCAAGAGTGAAGACCACCTGCATGTATTTTATATCAGGCTTGGGAAGTGAAGTAAATGAGGTATTTGATTTGTTTTTTCTTTTGCATCTCAGATCTCTTACTTAAATGCTCTTCGATTTGGGCTTAAGAGGATATTTTTCGCTGGATTTTTTATTCGGAACCATCCAAGCACAATGGACACACTATCTGTTGCTGTTAATTTCTGGTAAGTGTTTAGGAAGTTCCCTCTGTAGCCCCATCCAATTTAGTGCTTTGTAACTAGCTATAGTAGGGCATATCAGTTTGTCTTTACTCATGACTGAACAGATCAGGAAATTTAAGACAGAATTATTAAACATCTCTTTAAGACGATCTTTAAAGCTTAGGGTAATATAATTCTCAAGAAATACCAAAGGAAAGAAATTCCGTTCAGAATGATCAAACTATAAGATCTTTGGCAGTTCTGGAAAACATTAGTATTCGTCCATATTGCTATGATTTTCACAGAAAATGCCAAGTAGGATTTTCTTAGAGCAGCAAGCAGGGGGGTTAATTGTTGAGGAAGACTGAATTGTAAATTGATAGAACTAGCTTACAGAAAATAGACGGACCAAGTTAGTCATGAAGCTATACACAAGCATGTTAAGGTAACACTAAAAAGTTATCCCCTCTATTTAAAAATATAAGGCATTTTTTGAAGGATTTGATGTTACAAAATGTAAGGTATTTTTAGTCTTTCAAAGTGTAATTATTGCCTTTTCACTAAAAGTGCCACTATTAAATAAATATTTGTATTTATCTTAGGGTGACCTACCCTATTAAATGGAGGTAAATATAAAAAGATAAAGTTAGTTTGAAGAGAAGCAACTACTTTATTGGGGGTAATATTTGATTAAAAATGCCTTATATTTTTGAACGGAGGGAATATGTGTCTTGTATGCTTACATGTCATTATGTCAATATATGGTTGGCTTGGTTCATCTATCTGTCTGATTTGTGGAAGGTTTTGGCGTGATCTCTGAGCCAATTTGTTGTTGCCCATCTTTCTTTCTGCATAATTACAATTAGGGAACCATAAAGAGGAAAATATACAATTGTTTTCATCATGACAGGTCCAAAGGCGAGGCAAAAGCAATGTTCTTGCAGCATGAAGGTTTTCTTGGAGCTATGGGTGCTTTCATGAGTTCTGATAAGCACGGCGTCCAGGAATTGTTGGTGAAGCAAGCAGAGCAACCAAATCCTGTGAGTAAAACACAAGTTCCGCTAGATGGAGAGTTCAATGCAGATCAAAGTATAGAGTGCATTTTCTACGAAGCTTAGATGAGGCAATTCTAGGCTGTCTCTGCATGACCTGCATTTCTGACTTAATGCAGTTTGTACTTTGTATTCTGTAGAATGTTTGTCAGGTGTAACACCATAATGTGACAAATAATCGACACTTGAAATTAAAGCAACATAGAAAATAAGAATGATGGACATGCCTAATGCCTTGCAGAAAAGCTAAAGATGTTTAAGATTGCATGACTACATTAACTGTAACCTTTTCACGTTCTAGCGGATTCTTTTTCTTTTTCTTTTCTGAAGTTGGACGGGTTTTCTTTCTGCTTCTTTGATTCACAGTTGGACAATTGTGAATAACAATTAAATAAAAAATATATTATGCTTATAAAAATATCCATAAATCCGATTAATCACAATCAAACATACAATAGTGAGACAAATTTTAATAAATTATTCATTTATCCTTCCTAATCTTATTTGATTTTTTCATGTTTAGTGATGATAGAGCAGCCCAATAGTGTTGCGTAATATATGCAACTGACTAATTTAAAAAGATAAGGCTTGTGGCTTTATATACCTAGTGTTTAGTGTTGATTTCAGGTCTAATAATAAATAAATAAGTATATATATATAGAAACAAAGAATGAGACTTAGTGGAATAAGATTCCTTGTTATTGGTGTTAATGGCCCAAGAACATGATTTGTTCCATAAAGGGGATATCACTTAGTGGAATAAGATTCCCTGTTATTGATGTTGTAGTGTTTGGTGTTTGGCATGCCAACAACCAATATGCGAAAAAGAAACTGAGATAACTCCCTATCCAGCTTTCTGGCGATTCTTGTATCACATCACAAAAATTATAATCTTGTGTAATAATGTACCATATATCTGAGAGACTGACAAAATAAAAGCTTACAAGGTCAACTTCCTCTCTTTCTGTACATTCCCTAATTTTTGTTTATTATTATTTTTTTAATCTAAACATACATGGTGCATCTGTTTTCTAAATGCATAAGATCCAAATCCCACAACAGAAAATACAACTGAGATGAAATTAATGACCAATTTTTCATAAATTGATCAGCGTTATAAAGGTTAACAGCATGTAATAAGATGCACAAAGTAGCATATCTCCTAATATAAACGGCTCATCACTAAATCTTGACAGTTACATCAGATATCAGTGGCCAATTGTATGGCATGAAATACTATGCAGCAATTTAGACCTTTTACTTTACAATACTTGGCAACACTCTCACAAACTCATTGCTGCTTTCAGAGAACAATACTTGGCATTTTAAACAAGTAATCAGCTGGTAGGATGAAGTCTTCTCCGATTCTTCTTTGCAGTTTTTCGACGCAAAAGCCATCGTTCTTTTATGTCACTTGAGTCACCAACAAGATCTTGGTTTTCATTGGATGCTTCCCCAAGCTCTCCCTTAGACATTCCAGCTTCAAATCCCTCTCTGATTCTGGCAGCTTCGGCACGTAGGTCGTTTATAAGCATCTCAGTCGTCCGGGTGGTAATTCCCCTCAAATACCAGGATATGGGAGGGGGTGGGACAATGGTTGGCTCAAGTATTTGTTGCAGGCTCACTCTAGACCCTATTCTTCCCTTGCCTCTGGTACATACATTGTATTCTTCCTTTGTCTTTGGTTTAAAAGGATAACAAATATTTTCATCAACAAATAGAGGTTCTACCCTCCAGCAACCCTCAAATTTTTTCATGAATCCAGTCTTAACTTGCTTGAACTTCATCTGGCATACAAATACATAAATCAGTCAAAACACAGTTCTCTGATTCCACGGAGAGCAGAATTGCGAGTAACTTTACTCACAACATATCACTGTAATCAATGTGTGCTTATGGATGTGTCCTTTTACAAATCTAATGCTAGACATGCGTTCTCAGACTTGGGATGATCAAATATATCATATATCTAAGTAAATTAAAAAAATATATTCTCTTCCATTCCAAAGATCAGTTTACTAGAAACCAAAAGGCTATCACAAAATCCCTGAAGATTTGGTACCAATTTCTATCAAGAAAAATGAGGGCAAGTTTGAATTGAACCAAATTAACATTAATGCCTGAGAAGAGATTTTCAGTTTAAAGGGAAATCATGAAAAGATATTTGTATGCCTTATTTAATTAATCAACAACTATGGATGTAATTATTATCCAACGAGATAACAAGCCCTTACAGAGTGGTCTTCTCTATTTTGATCTACCAAAACATGAACAGATATGGTTCCTGACCACCAAAGAAATCTCCATATCGCTGCTTGGTCGAGTTCAACCACTTGCCTTTGGCCCTCATCAACCAATACTTTTCTGGATATTACTTCCTGACCAAGAAATACGTTGTCAAACTGAATTGTGGAATCTCAAGTAGAAGACGGAGTGTTTCTACCAATTCAGTCTTCAAAGGATATAAAAGCACCTCCTAAAAAGGTTGTGATGAAACAATGAACAATATAATTAATTATTAGTTACCTACCTTAATATTTTTGAAAACTCTTCTATTGTCAGGATCAATCACTATATTGTATACTGCATCAGGCGGGAGGCCAACATTGACTTCTACATTCAGGTTGCAAAGAGAACCTTTTGGTACAGTCACCTGCCAAAAAGAACATCGTGCTACATACATTCTATACCTCCATATGAACATAGATACATAGTTATCACCCCAAAAAAAAAAGGTCAATTCTTTAGATATAAAACATGAGACAGGTTGCAGTTTATATGAACAAAGATGTCAGCATTCTGGCCAAGAATATCTAAAATAGTGTCTACTGATGCAGTTCTTCCACCATTAATAGAAAATTATTTAAGTCTCCATCAAATTTCATGGGCAAACAAGTCATCTACCTTGAAGGTTTCTAATGGCATAATAAAAATTAAAAAAGCAATCAAAATAGAAATTGATGCAACTTTTCGCCTCAAATATATATGTATATATTTCTTATCAAGCCAAGTTTCAGTTTAGGAAAGTGACCTTCATATATCACCTTTATTTTAGAAGGATTATCAACCCAAGAAGGATTTTGTCTCCATGCTCGCAGTTGCTCATCTAATTCAGCTTCATAGCCATTAACTGACCCACACTCTTTCCTTTGGACAGAGCTCACCCAATTGACATCTTTTTTGGCTAATTTACTGAGCTGTGACTGTAATCAGAAAAGATAACAATCAAAACTCACATCAAGTTTCCAAGAATCTTTTGAACCGTCAGAAAAAGGTAGCTAACCTTGAGAGTATTTTGAAACTTGTGGGGAAGCTGCAAAAGAAATGTGGAAATTGCAGGATTTAGAGCCCTGGGAGATCTATCTTCCCCGTTCTTGTTGACATTTAAGCTGGATTTGGTCATTTCCGACTCCCCCATCAAAACTGCAAATGCTTAAAAAGAGTGAAACAAATTCATATAAAACACGAAATTACTATTCTCTCTTAACAAATAACGTCTCTAAGCCACTCGAGCACAAATTAAAGGCATTCAATTCAACCAAAAAGCTAGAGCAAGCAAAATTGACCAAAGGGGTTTCCCAGGGCGTTTGAGATTGATAAGGGCTACAAAGAACAAAGGTAAACCTACAGTTGAATGAAGAACTGGGAAATTGAACAAAGATAAAGTCGAGAAATGAGATTGAGAGTTGAATTGAAGAGAGGATAAAGTTGAATCCCACGGAATGTTAATATTGTACCGAGCAAATCCAAGGCCTCCACTTGTGATTTGGGAATGGAAAAGCAATCTTTTCACTTTGGAGTTATATGATCTCAGCATCCCAGAGAGCGTGGAGGTGGAGAAGTAAGAACAGCACGTGGAGCTCATTCTCAATTTGTTCTCTCGAAGACGTACAAGGCTCGGCCGCCACGGTCCACAAGACTTTTCTCACGTTATGATCGTAACAAGCAAAATTGATAATTTCTAATTTTCTATGCATTGAATTGAATTTAAGAAAACCGTATTAAAATTTAATAAAGAGGGTCTACAGATAAAAGAGACCAGGGAACAAAATTATACGAGTGTATTTTAAATAGATAATAAATCATGCCCCATTAAGAATTTCATCTCAAAAAATAATTATTTTTCCCCTGGGGACCTAGGGATGCTGTACTTTACACGCTAAGGCCTCGACATTTCTCTCTATTCATTCTTGCAAAACCCCTCCTCTCATTTTGATGACAGGAATATACAAGTTATGATTCTTCACATTATATTATGTTGATATTCAACAAAAAGGTTAAATTTTATAGTTTGACATTCAGTATACCTAAGTTTTATCTCCTCAGCAGAAAGAATAATGCTATCCATAATGCATAACGAAACACATTAAAAAAAAAATATACTATTAAAGCCCATCATTTTGTCATACACAGTATATACACATTTTACAATACACCCAATTAAAAAGTCCTTCACACAAACTTCAATGTAACAACAGTATTCACATCAGGCTTTAAAGCAGGCTTCTCCATTACAAACCCACCCTTCTCCGCTGGTACCTTCTTCACATTTCTCTGCCTTCAATACACATTTTGGATGGAGATCGAAGTCACATCCATCACAACAGTATGTCCATGTGTGACCCTCTTCCCCACAACCATCACAGTTATAAATCTTGCAGCGACTCAACACAAGCTCATGCTCATGAGACCTGTGCGTCACCTTCTCAGGCCAACCCTTAGCGATCTCTTCAGATGCTGCCTCAAGTTCTTTCACCCTTTCCTCAGTGAAAGGATAAGCTTCGGCGCCATAAAGCAAGACGGGATCTCTGGCTTCTTTTGTGATGGTTTGGCCACTGGGTCCGATGGCAACCAGCATGGGGATGCCATACATCTTGAACTGGCGACTCAGTAATGACTTCCTTGTGTCATTAAAGGGAAGAGCCAGCCATGGCATTCTGGCAAAGAAGTTGTCGAACGAGGCCTGGTCCCTATCACTGGATATGAACACGACTTCGAGTGCCTTGTGCTTAGCCTTGATTTTGTGGTATGCTTTGATAAGCTTTGGAAGAAATGCACGGCACGGTATGCACCAGTGAGCTGAGAAGTATAGGAGGACTGTCTTCCTCATTAAATCTGACACTGGAATCTGAAAAATAGAAATCAACTGTCATTATCCCAGAATGGGCCTGAAAAAAGGACAAGTAGCAGAAATGTAGCACGGTTCAGATGACACTCCAGTGTCAAATAGTATTTAAGATTTTCTTGAAATGGCAAATCACTAAAAGCTGTCATACAAAACAGATAAGTAATCTTTTATTAAAAAGTAAACTAAAACTTCAAAGATGTCACATTCTCAAGGTACTTCTATCTTCTGGTAACACCAACACGTACATGTATCTTGCATGCATCTTAAATGCCTTTTGATTTTGACATCCAAGACATGAGGATGAAGAAGACCATTTGCAAGATATTGGAAGATATCTAACAAGCAATGGACAAAAACCATAAGGTTCAATTGTTTCAAGAATCATACCTTAACTCCATCTGTCCCTATGACAAAATCTAGATCTCCAGAGACCAGAATAGACTCAAGGGTCTGAGCTGCCTCTTTGGCCTTCTCTACCTCAGCAAGCTCTAGAAACTTCTCAGGAGTAAAAGGGTATGCAGCATCGCCGTGCTCTTCAATGGCCTCCACCACATTGGAATGAAGGGTTTTTCCATCTGGCCCAATAATAACCAGAGCGGGCAAGGTCGATAGTGGAAAGTAGCGAGCAAGCTTCTCGCAGCTCTTATCCTTGAATGGCAATGCCAACCAAGGAAGACCCTTCAGTCCTTGTTTGAAAGAGTCCTCATTATCTCCAATGGATATCAACACAATCTCAAAGTCCTCACCCTTTGCTTTCAGCTTCTCATAAACCTCCACAAGCTGTGGGGTAAATTTAGCGGATGCTTTGTATGAAAAAGATGAAAAATACAAACCCACTGTCCTCCCCTCAAGTTTAGACAAAGGTACCTGCAAGTAGATGGAAGGTGAAATTCAAACTTCGCCTAAAACTTTAATTTATGAAATGTAAATAAGAATTGCCTGGCTCAGCCCCAACAAGCTTGGAGCCTTTTGAGGATCAGACCAGCCATATCTGACACTTAATGAAGGAAAGGACACACTTGTTCAGTTCCATCTCACGCAGAGAGTATGGTTACAGAAACTTACTTCCTTCCCATCAGAAGATATAATGAAGTCACGTGACTTGCACGACAAAAGAGATCTCAAGGACTGGTTCCTCCTGTCTTCCTCTTCTTGGTCTTTTAACTCTTTGATCCTTTCTGATGTGAAAGGGTATGCTTCAACTCCATACTCACGAACAACCTCAACTCCATTTTCAGTGGAGACTTTCCCATTCTCCTCGAGCATTACAAGGGGGGGATCCCCCGCACCTTGAACAATTCATCGAGGTGATTGTGTGCGTTGGAATCAGAAAATGGGATGGCAAGCCATGGCATCTTGGAAAAGTAACCTCTGAAAGCATCTTCATCTTCATCAGCTGACACAAAGATTATCTCAAAGTCAGCTTTAGGAGAGAGTTCGTTGTACAACTCCACCAAAGTAGGGGTGAATTGTCGGCAGGGACTGCACCAAGAAGCTGAAAAATATAAACCAAGCTTCTTCCCCCTCAAGCTCTCAATTTTAACCTGAAAATGTTCACAGCACAGACAAAGGCCTCCTCAATTTTCCATGCATACAAGTATAATCATTTGTTACCTATGAGCTATAATTGTCAATGAAATAGTGTATCTAATGGTAGAGTTTTCACTCAAAAAAATCATTTCACAGCCACACACCCCCCCTTCACAAAAAAAAAAAAAAAAATCCCAGCCTGGGATAATTTTCCGAGAAAATAAAAGCAGCAATCGCGTCGCTTGATTAAATGTAAGAACCAAATAAGCACCTGATCGTCATTGTTCCGAATGAGATAGTCCCTCTCAGAAGAAGAAAGGATAGATTGAATATCGTGGGCGACATTATCAGCACCAGCCATTTTCGTCACGGCGTAACCTCGGACCTTACAGCACCGAAGTGAAAGTAGCTTCGGACGAGGTGGTTCGCGCTCCAAGCCACTTAAAGGGGAAAATGAAAAGTTAATATGACAAGATTCTTCGTTTCTCAATCACAATCCAAGCCACTTCCATATCTCAAGAAAGCTTCAAGGTTTACATCATCCTCAGTTTCATTAATCAACTAAAAACCCCTAATTTGTTAACAAGATTCAGCTTAGAAATAGAAGGGGAAATGTCAGACTATGGCTTCAACTAATCATAGAGACGCGACCCAGGATATAAAATTAAAATAAAATACCTTTTAAAGAAGATACATTTCCTTCAACGTTAAGTCAACCATCCATCGAAACCTTCCTTGTTCAGGCGTCCAGCGGTAGAAATGAAAGAGAGGAGTCCTACCCCACACACACAACACATATAACGGCTTACAGCGGGGAGGAAGAAGAGAGGAAGTGAAGCTCGGACACAGACACTACGGCCTACGGCATACAATGTACATCAAAACAGGACTAAGAAGTAGCGTTTGGGCTGGCATGACCACTTTTTGCGCCTTTTCTTTAATCGCGCCGCTGCGATTGCCTGATTAAGGAGAAGAGACGCGAGGCCAGAAAGCGCTTTTTAAAAAAAAAAAATCAGAAAAAAGTAAAAATAATTATCAAAGTTTTAGAGAGAATTTTACTTAAGTACCATAATAGCTATTTAATTACAAGTGGGTCTAAAAAAATTTTAAAATTTCAATTTAGTTTAGTGAAGAAAAGTCAAAAAAATTTTAATGGTGAAAAAAACTTTCACTTATTACATAGAATCACTCATTAACTTTTTTAATTCACTTGTTAATTGATCAATATTACTTATAAATTATATCAATTTGTCAAACAATTAGTAACATTAGTTATTAATTTGTTAGCTTTACTTATTAATTTACAAATACTAGTTATAAATTATAAGACCTATTAGTAATTTACAACTGATATTAGTAAATTAATAAATAAAGTTAGCAATTTAATAATTGATATTACTGTTTATGATTAAACAACTGATGTGAAGTCTTGTATAATTATTGACATGTTAACTTATATAATTTATAACTTATATTAATAAATTAACAAGTGAAATAAGAAAATTAATAACTAGTAATTTTGCTTAACAAATTAAGGGTATTTTGGTATTTTCATAGTCAAAATTTTTTTGACTTGACTGAAGTGAAATTTTAAAATTTTTTTTGAACTCACCTGTAATTACATAACTATTATGATCCTTAACTGAAATTCTCCAAGATTTTATGTTAAAATCACCCCAAAAAAAGTAGAAAGAAGTACAAATTAAAAGGCAGAATTCCATCAAAGGACTACTTATAGTGCTTATTTACAAATGAAACCCGAAATAATCATAAAACAATCTGAAATATTACTAGACCATACTAGGTCTGAATTAAAATTAAATTATAAAATAAATTTATCCAAATAATTTTCTTCAATCAAACTGAACAAGACACGTAACAGGTAATGGCAAGGGATTAACAGATTAGATTAAGCATCAAACATATATTATTTAAAAACTAATCCATGTTAGATGTTCAGCGAATAATATTACACATTAATTCCATGTTGTTATTTGTTAAGTCTATTATGTTACTTGTTCAACATTTAATTTGTAATAAATACATTACTTAAGTTGCTTGTTAAGTAATGTTTGACTTATTTGATACCTAATATTAGTTGTTAATTTCATATCATTACTTGTTACTTTTTTTTACTCTTATTTATAAGTTATTTTTAACATATTTCATTAAAATTAAGAAAAATATTAAATTTCATTGACTCTA